CCAAATGTATTGTTGCAATGTGCATTGCTGCTGCAATTGTGGGCTCCTGTTTCACACTCATTGACGTCCTCACACAACCTGCCATCTCCATTGAACCCCTTCTTGCATGTGCATTTATGTGAGCCAAATGTATTGTTGCAATGTGCATTGCTGTTGCAATTGTGGGTTCCTGTTTCGCACTCATTGACGTCCTCACACGACCGGCCGTCTCCAGTGAACCCCTTCTTACATACACAGGTGTTGGAACCAACTGTAGAGTTATGTCGGCATTCAGCGTTAACGCCACAGGTGTCAATAGCGTCTGTTTTACACTGGGAGAGTGCTTCATCTGGCAAGAAAAAGAAATATAATATGTTAAAAGGTAGACCCTATTTTATTTGTGAGATACTATTTTATTTATTCAAATAGTAATGTTCTAGTAGTGTTGCATTGAAGAAACACGACCTCCCTTGTAGACATTTCTAGTATTGGTAATATGTTACTTCTAACATCTGCAAAGGAGGAAAGGACACCAGAGGATCAACACTTTTAAAAATGGAACTATTCKCCTTTTTCAWATCRAGCGGGGTACTGGGTWCGAGTTCGGACYGCAAAGCATGCATGGATTGTTTGGAAGGACAGATAACCAGGAATAGCGTCTTCCTTTACTGCATTCTCAGTTTAATCACGTAAATTATGCCGCATAAATACAACTGTTGTGTTCCTGGCTGCCTAAATAACTTCAGAAATGCTCCAGAACTACRTTACTACAGGATTCCAAAGGATGAAGGTCAAAGAAAGATTTATAAGAACAGTTTAAAAAACAAAACACTGAAGCTAGAATCTCAAGCTACTCAACTGTTTAAACATCATCAATTTTGTTGAGCAATGCATTGAGTAGTGTTTTAAAAACAATGTTGAAAGATAGTTGYGGACTTGTACCCAGTCATTACTCTTTTCCTAAGCTTAAAGGACACACCTTTCATTCACTCTTCGCTCATTGACGATAAAAGTCTGACATCTATGTGCAATAAGTAACACTTTCTRCATTGCCTTAATTATTCAACAATAGAGCAAATGCTGGAGCAAGTCTTGAAAGCATTTGTAACATGTAATGTCTATGAGAGGATCGAGGTATCAAAACTACTTTTAATAGAGATGTGACCTCAGAGATAAGAAAAACAAGTCTGGTCCRACTAGAATGGAGAGGGAAGAAGTTTCATGGAATATGAAGAGGCAGGGTGAAAAATGAGAGGGAGGCCTTGTCTTTTACATGAGAACTACATCAAATATTAATAATCTACATAATACAAACCTTCAAATCCTGACTTTTCATTTTTAGTAGATGTCTTCCGTGTCAATAAAGTAAGTGGTAGGACCACAGTTAATACCAAAATAATTCCCACCAAAACAACCCAAAAGATCTTGCAAGATCTTCCGTTCCGAAAATGCTGTCCAAGGTCAGCAAGTCCATTCTTCATTTCTGTATTAAGTAATTAGAAGGGACAAGAGTTAGAYGCAAGAAAAAAATGGGAGAGCTAATTTAATGGGGGAATGTAAGTATTGAAAAGTAAATACTCTATCAGTGTCATTAAGTGAACGCCACAAATTAAAGGAAAAAACAAAAGTCGCTTTTTTATTCAAAATTCAAAAATGTTCAATTTTGCTAAGTAAAATGGAAGTCAGTCGCTGGTTACACGTACAATTGCCGCTTGCTCAGTAGATTTCAAAAAACTCGTTCTACATTGAGAGTTTTTTATTAATTGGGTCCTAATTAAAAGCAAAAAATATAAAGCTTAACTAGAAAATTCAAGGAGATTCACGCCGGCTACATAATTGCGCTTGCCAGGCGCATAAAAGTTGAATTTAAATTTTTACGTATAGATGGCGTCATAAACATCCAAAAGTCATGATCAGCAAAAAAAGTTGCTTGATCATCATTTCTCCATGTCTGAAKCGTGTTGGCTTGCTATTGGTTATTAAGACTTGGCCGAGCGTGACTCCATACAAAAATCTTACGTCAGATATACTTTAATGGAATATGGCTTTAAAGCCAGGGGGAAAATCCCAAGCAAAAAAGAAAATTCCCAAAATTTCAATACAATGATTGTTAAATATTACTTCGAAAGAGAGCMGTACATTTTGTAACGTTTTTGGATTAAGATGGTAATTAGTCAAGGTATCCACGGTCTACTGATTTAAGGATTTGTTTAGCGCATGTTTTATGGTTAATACTCTATCAATAGCAATAACAAGCTTTAGCAGAATAAAACTGAACTGCTTTCCTACTTTTTCTTTAAGCTTGAATCGAACTAATCGAACTGATTTTCAGCGCGAGAAAGCGGCTATCTATACATCGACATGCAGAATACCAGTCATCCGAAGAAAAAAACGTCTGAGCCTAAGTGCATTGTTTGTTGAAAATAAACTTATTTCATAWACACTTTACGTAMTGTTAAGTTGTTTGWCATCGGTAGAATACTCACCTTTCATTGAAAAACTTGGTTTTATCTGTTTTTGGCCGGCTTTATCCATTATTGCAAAGTGTGTCTGCTTTCTCTTCGGGTGCTGCGCACGTTATGAATTCTCGGAAAAGCTGCTTCAGCTGAAATTAAGTCTCAGTAGGGGATTCCCCGAAATAAAATCGCTAACTCAATTTGATTGGATAGTGCAGAGACTGACAACATTATGAAGTGTCAGTCACTCAACGTGATGCGAGAACTCTCAGTGAAAAAAGAAAAAAGAAAAAGAAAAAAGAAAAAGGAAGCGAAACCTCGCAGCCCTGGAGACCAAACCTTAGATCTGTTGGAGCTAAGAGAAACACAACGGCAACTTGAAGGTTTGTTTGAAGATGGCTAATTGTAACTATCACACWTCCGCCGGAGAAAGAACTATATACCGAATAAACTATCTTTTGCCACKTGCCATTTATTAAGTAATAGGCTGTATTTTCAATAGACAGTTTRGAAGTTGGAAGGTCAGACAAAAGTWCTTAAACTCTGAAGATACCAAGTTGATCGCATTCAAATGWTTTTCATTCTAGAGACAATTACAACACGCATTGTAAAATAGAAAAAGTTTATTATAGTTTAAGTGATATGAAAATTAAAATATCTAAAAGTGTCACTTAATTATCCGTTTTTGTGGCTTTGTAATTTTTCCT